CCGACCATCTCCATGAGACCAAACCCACGGTGCCTTCTGAAATTCGGGCTACTTGATGGGCGCCTCATGGGGCAGCCGAGCCGGCGGTCAGCATAACTGGGGCATGTGCAACAAACCCCCGCATAGAGCTTTCGATCCTCGATGATGGCCCTTCTGATACCGCGCGTGAGCATCATATCCTGCGATTGGGCAGGCCCCGCCTTTGAGCGCATGCAATTGCCTGCATCATCTCGCTTGACCCCGCGAAGATAATACCAGCGCCGAATGCGATGCTCATTCCAGTTCATGAGCCAGCCAGAAGTCCATCTGACTTGCGGGCATGCACTGACGAGCCAATCCAGCTTCAGCGTAGCCTTTCAAACGCTGCGCGTCACCTTCTGGATATCCCCCTCCTCGCTGTCGGTCACCTCGAGGCGGCCTTCCCCGCAAACGATCCCTCCTTGGGGGGGCGCGTGGTCTAGTTGCCACGGCGGGGCCCTTGGGGTTCCCGCGCGTGGAGGATAAGGGCGCCGAGTACCACTCGAACGGGCTCGCGCGCGATCTGGCGAGCGGCTGGCTGGGAGCTCGACCGCGACGTATCACATGGTCATTGTCTCCTCGTTTGTCGCCCTCGTCATCATCGCGATAAGTCTTCTTCCCCGAGGCTGGGCGGCTTGGCGATCGCTTCGGGCGGCTGGCGGATCGATCCGACGAAACGAAAGCGCACTGAAATTCTTCATCATGACCAAGGTCACATTGAATACGCTCAGATAGATTACCAGCGTCGCGTTGGTTTCCCCGCAGAGGATCACCATCGATTAATTCCACGTTTGTCGGATTCCCAATCAAGCGGTAGATTCTGAGTCCGCGGGCGCCCCCGCCATGCCAAAATCACCTTCGATAGGCACGTGGAGGTTCTCGACAAACGCAATATCTGCAGGTTGCCCCGCGATGGGTATACCCAGCCATTCTGTCAAGTCGATGTCGTCGCGGTCAGTGAACACCTCCTCGAACAGCTCGCCGGCGCAATCCTCGAGGGCCATGCTGACACTTAGACACCTGGCAGCCATGAGATGAACAATTGTGGCTGAACCGTCGGCAAGGTCGGCTAAAAGCGACCCCCAATCAAGACACTGTACGTCGGAGTCCGTTCGAGCCAGATGTATTGACGGACCCCTGCCTCTTCCATCACCTCGGGGGCATTCATTCGCATCGGAAATGCTGTGCGCTGTGGCATATGTCGCACTCCATAGCTTCACCGTTGGCATCCTTTGGGTTTCCTCGTTGTCCTTTAACCTTGTCTGATGTATGCCTGCGGTTTCTGCCAGTCCCTAAAAACATGTCCTACTGAAGCCCAGTGAGAGACGCTAGGAATGCTAGTATGCCTATACCACGCAATCGCCGACGCTTACCTCTGCCTTTATTTCGACCCATGCCTTTTCCATTAAGTGATCGTCGTACACAATACGTCTCACCTTTCGGACTGGTTTCTTCATGAGACTCCGCTAACGACGCCTGTGTTTTCGGTGGCCCAAAAATAACCATTGAACTTGTTGCTCTTCATAAAGGTATGTCGGCATATCAGAGAATTCCAAGGCGGTAGCTTCGCCATCGGAAGACGCATCCGCATCGGTACCGGAGTCGAAGTCGGACTCGGCGGCTTGCCCCGCTGAGCCCATTAAGGTCATGGCTTGTATAGGGGAAGCCGCGTCGGGCGGTCCCTTAGGTCTGGCCCAGGAGTCTTGCGACCCCGAGGCCGTTCCACCACTCTGAGCCAGCAGTGTAGTGGTCTCAGCTGGCTGTGATCATCGTTCCAGACGTTGTTGGCAGGTTGCCCTGCATTGGCCTCTACGTGGAAGGTCGCGGTTCAGTGACCGTGGCTAAAGTTACCACCAATATTGCCAGGGGTCCTCCCAGCTATGTGAGCATATGACCTCATACGCTCAAGTAGAGCGTCAAATTGTTGTTGGTCTGTCGGCACGTGGTGGTTCAGAGGCTGCAGGAGTTGTTGTGCCCGCGATGCCTCGCTGCAATGCTGCGGCTTGCTGGGAGGGCGTCATATTGCCTGTGGCCACATTGATCCAGGCATGTACTTCGCGGACGAACTCGCGAAATGGTACTTGGCCGGCGGGGTCCCAGCGGGGGCCGGACGTTCATGCGTCGCCTCCGCCCCGCATATGTCCTACCGCACACCCAATACCAAACCCATATGAGCCCAAAGATAGCAACCCCAATCCAATGGCCTCGAAGGTCGTAGTCGGATGTAGTCGGTTGGGACTTATGTTGTTTAGTCGTAAGTCTGCGCGGGGTCGGAGGCGGCAGTATGTCGTATCGCATGTTTCCATGCATTATGTCTTCGAAGAAATTTCCCATTGGAGTCGGTGGGTGGACTTCAGGAGTGTAGTAGCGCAGGGATGTAAGATGTGAGTGAGAGACCTCCGCTTGGACAGGTGTATCGCTGCAAGTTTCCTTGCGGTACTGCGTAGTTATATACATTCCTCCGCGCAAACCCACTGCACCCTGATGTTCCACCATATCTGTAGTTCACCAGATAGTGCCGTGGACGGTGAGGAGTAGAAGGGGGCTGGAAGGCCCAGCCAACAGCTTCGCCTCAGGCAAAGCCAAGCTCCCGCTCTGTTGTACCGTAGCAACGATAGTCTCAGTATGAGAGGAGATGCCATCTCAAGCAGTAGGAAGATCCTTTTGGTCTCGATAGCGATTGTGTGCCTCGCAATGAGGCACAGTCATATTTGGGCGGCCGGCCGCTTGAGCCGACGCGGCCGCGGGCGCACGCTCGCTTCCACTCCTTACGTCCCTCAGCTCGCTTTAGAGTTAAGAAAGCTACAACCTGAGCTTCAGCTCTGCTGGGGGGGGCCGGGGGGGCTCTGCCGGCCGGGGTAGGGGGGGAGGGGGGGGGGGTCATCGGGTCTACCCTTTCTCCCCCCCCCAGGAATCCCAAACCGCCCCAAGACGAGCCCAGGAGGCCACCAAGACGGTCCAGGAGGCGCCCGAAACAGCCCAAGAGCGCTCCTGGACGCCCAAGATGGCCGAAGACGGTCCAAGAGGAGCCCAGGAGGCCACCACGACAGCCCAAGAGGCCCCCAAGAGGAGCCAAGAAGGTCCAAGAGGGCCCCAATATAGCCCTGGAGGCACCCCAAGACGACCCCGAGAGGCCCCCAAGATGGCCTCAAGAGGGTGAACCCGAACGGACCCTTCTAGTCCTCCACCCCAAGATGACCCCAAGAGCCCCCAAGATGCCCCCGAGGCGCCCCCAAGGGGCCCCCAGAGGCCCCTAAGAGGTCCCCAAGAGGCCCCGAAGAGGACCCCGAGAGGCCCCCAAGAGGCCCCAAAGGTCCCCAAGAAGCCCCAAGAACCAAGAGGCTCCAAGAGGCGCTCACTCGCGTGCTGCCAGGCCAGAGGTGCACGGCCTGACTTGGTATTGCTCGGAAGCGAAAGCGATGAACGAAGAACCTTCCACCCTTCGCCGTCACCAGTCGTCGGTCGTCGGCCGTCGGCAGCCGTTCGCCGTCTGTCGTCGTCGTCGTCGTCGTCGTCGTCGTCGTCGTCGTCGTCGTCGTCGTCGTCGGTTCGTCGTCATTAACTCCTTCGTCGGTCGTCGTCGTAATTATCCCGCTCGTCGACCGTTGGTCGTCCGTTGTCGTCGTCATCGTCCATTTCAACAACAGTAGCATCAAGAGCGCCCCGGATCAGCGGCACTGGCCGGAGGCCACTACAATAGCCCAAGATGGCCTCCAAGATGGCCCCATTCACTTCAGGATGGCTCAAAAGAACTTCCGCCATACCTCCAAGATACCCTAAGACAGCCCCGCAACAGTCCCACGTGCCCTCCGACACTTGCAAGGCAGCTCAAAGAGGCCAAAATCCTTCCAAAACCTACAAATAAATGATTGCTGCTTTCTCGCCTTCTCGCTGTCGACGGGTCTTGAGGCCTCAAAATTGTCCCCTGAGGGCTAATGGAGAACCCCAAGAGGGGCACAAGAGGCCCCCAAGAGCGCCCAAGATGGCCACAAGAGCAACCTGTTCAGCCTCCGAAGGGGGACGCCAAGTAAAGTCTGCCAAAGTCTGCCTCTTTTTGTGAGCCATCGGGCCCAAGCTCGCATCGACCAAGACCCCCCCGAAGAGCACCACGAGGATCCCAAGAAGGCCAAAATGGCACCAAGATGGCTCAAGAGGCCTTCAAAATCAAGAGGCTTCCCACAAACTCGCGGAGCGAAATCCTCCGCGAGGGCTTGAATTATGGTTGACTCGTCGTTGTCATCGTCGTCTTCAGCTCGCCTGGGCATCGTATCTGATTGGGCTTGTGGGGATACGCCGAGCGCCTAGAAGTGCGGGCAAGTCTGAGGCGACAGTGGCATTCCTCAATGAACTGTGGAGAAGTCTCGAGCATAGAGAATGCGAGAAGGTCTCGAGCGAGAAAGCGATTCTTGAATGAATTGGTTGAAGAATTATCAGGCGGGGGGCCGTCATTGTTGCAGCCTGGGGCCATGGGCACAGTTTGAGACTCCAGACTTCGCCTGGTGGCGCACTTCAAATGGAGAACGACAACATACGACACGCCAAACCCGCCGACCCTTCGGCGAGTGCGAGCGGCTTTGCCTTCGTCGTCGTCGTCCGACGTCGTCGTCGTCATCATCGTCATCGTCGTCGTCGTAGTCCGTCCTCGTTTCCCGTAGTCCGTCGTCCGTCGCCCGTCGTCGTCGTCGTCGTCGTCGCCAATCCCAAACCACTTGAGCAACAAGAAAAAGAAACGTCGGGAATCTGTCGATTCCTTCCTCTTTTGCCCCTTCCTGGCGGGGGGGAGGGTCTCGGGTCAGCATACCGCACTCCCCGGGGTCCCGGCGGGTCCCGGGGGAGTCCCCGCGGGTCGCCAGCGAGTCCTGGGAGAGGTCCCGCCTCAGGGTCGGCGGCACCGGCCGTAGGCGCTACCAATCGCGGGCAACGCGACCGATCGGCGAGGCACTGGGGGGATCGGCGAGGCTACAGCAGACCGAGGCGCCCGCTCGCCGATCAGGAACGACGAGGTCCAATACATGGCCGCCGGGATCGAGTTCATCTCCTCGGCGGAGGAACCGGCGCCCGGTGAGCCCAGGACAGTCCGCGGCAGCAGCAGCGGCGCCCGCACCACCACCAGAGGGCAAACGAGCTCAACGAGGGTACGCCTAGAATCGAGCTCGCCCGTGAGCGTGAGCTCGGTGCGCTCAGGACGATCAGGCAGCAACGGCAGCGGCAAGATCACCGAAGATCACCGTGTGGTGGTTTTCCCGCGTCTCGTCGGCCCTCAGCGCTCTTGCAGGCTCGGGGTGTCCAAAAGGCCTCCAAAAAAGCCCAAGAGGCCCCGAAGACGGCCCCAAGAGAAGCCCCAGACGGGGGAAAGCACAGGTGTCCTGGGGCCAAGATAGCCGCAGAGACCGTCACGAAGCCAACAAGAGACCCAAAGGGCCTCCGGAGGGGCCACAAGACGCCCCCGAGAGGCCCCCAAGAGAGGCCCTAAGAGGCCCCAAAAAGGCCCCCAAGAGGCCCCAAAAGGCTCCCAAGAGACATCCGAGAGGGAGGCATCCCAAGAAGCACCCGAGGGGAATCCTCAGAAATCTCGGCAGGCATCGCAGACGCCCTTGGGCCCACGATCCAGGCACGGTGGCGGGATGGGCAGAAAGCCATGATATCCGCCGCCCCCTGGTCGTTCATCATCACAGGGGTGCACGGCGTGCTGAACATCTGAGTGGTTCTGGCTCTTTTCTCGACAACTCCCAACGGCGTCTCGGCCCAACCTGCCGGCCACCCTGGATGGCCTCGAAGACGGCCAAGATGGCCCAAGATGGCCTCGAAGTTTAGCCAAGATGGCCCAAGATGGCCTCCGAGAAAGCTCAAGAGGGTCCTAAGATGCCTCCAAGACGGCCAAGATACCTCGAGAGAGCCCAAGATCGCCTCGAAGGATTTGGGCGTTTGCTCATTATTCGACTTTCCAGCGGCCCAAAACAGCCCCTGAGGCCACCAAGATGGCCCCAAGGGCGGCCAAGAGGCATCTGAGATGGCCCCATGACGGCCCAAGAGGTGCCCAAGACGGCCCCAAGAGGGCCTCAAGACGGCCCTGGAGACCTCCAAGACGCCCAATATGGCCTGCTGCTGCTGCTGCTGCTGCTGCTGCTGTTGCTGCTGCTGCTGCTGCTGCTGCTGCTGCTGCTGCTGCTGCTGCTGCTGCTGCTGCTGCTGCTTCTGCCTCTGGACACCCGGCTGGCATCTTCTCCGCCCGAGGGAGGGCCGTCCTGTTTCGCTGGGCCGTTGAACGCCTTCTCGAACCTCCCCTGCCCCCCTCCGCCAGCACGGCCGAGCGGCACCACCGCCTCCAGCCGCTACCGCTCTGTCGGAGCTCCTGGCGATCAGAGCCCCCTCGCCAAAGCCGCCTGGTCACTATCCCCTCGGCGTCCCGCGGCCGAGGGAGGAGACAGGGGAAGATGGGGGAGGAGGACGAGGAAGGAGGGGAGGGGGAGGCGGCGCCGACCACACGCCGCCCGTACAACCGAACGACAGCAGGCCAACGAGGGTCAAGTCGGGCACGTCCTCCTACAGAAACATATTCAAACTAGAACCACGCACGCGCGCTTCGCGCGCGCATAGGTTCTAGGCACGGCTGCGCCACGTTTTGCTGCTCTCGTTATCGCTCGTGTGATCATCGACGACGACGACGACCACCACGACGACAGGGGCGGCGACGAGTGACGACGAAGGCGACGACGACGACGACGACGACGACGACGACGACGATCACGACGACGACGACGACGACCGCCACCACCACGACGACGACGACGACCCCTGGAGTAGCCCCGAGGTGCGGACAACTCCCATAGGCCCGGAATTTCGTCCTACATGTTTGACTGTCCCGGGGCCCGTTGGGGGCGTCTGGATGCCGAGTTGTCCGGAAGCTTCGGGATCTGCCAGAGTACCTCAGGGCGTCTGGGGAGAGGGCTCTTGGGAGCCTCTTGGGGCTTCCTGGCGGCCCCGTGGGGCCCGCTTGGGTTTTTTTTTTCGGGTGCTCTTGGAGGTTTCTTGGGGTCTCTGGGGTGCTTTTTGGCGAGGATGGCTCGAAATGTTGGGTGGGGTACCCCTCGAGGCTGTGGGGAAGCTGGCCCAGGGCCCTCTGGGATCGTCTTGGGGGCCCCCTGGACAGTCGAGGGCCCCTCTTGAGCCGTCTTGGAGACCTCTTGGAACTCTCTTTGGCCAGTCTGGGGCGATCTGGTCGGCTCCTGGGGCCGTCTTCGACACGGTCGACGCCGAAGCGGTAAATATCGTAAAAATGTACGTTTTCCAAAATGAATGGCTCAGGCCCTTCAAGGCCGCCCCCAGGTCGCTGCTCGTACCGTCCAGGGTGTCTGTGGGGTGCTCGTGAATGAAATGACCTGTGAGCACGCCGCGGCCCAGCACGTCTTAGGCGACGCGGTTGTGCTCGACGGCGTCTCCGAAGGGGCCCACAAACACACAAATAAATAGACACAAATAACATGATTCGCCATATTTTTCTATATTTTCTGGGTTTTTGTCTTCCCCCCCACCTCCCATATCTTCCCATATTTTCTCGGGAATCGGCGATTAATTGTGTCTGTGTGATTTTTCCCCTCCTGAGTCTCACGGATGCGGGAGTCGATGTGTGGTTGCGTTATGAGCCAGGCGATTCACCATGTCGCTGTGCACGTGGCGCTGCTGCTGGTTGCTGGGTGGGGCGAGGCCGCTACCGGCCATGCCGCGCAGCCCCTGCGGCGCCCTGAGGCTCGTCACTGCATGGACGGCCTCGCCTTTGCCTCGGGGTGCCGCGCGCGCGCCACCCAAGGACGAGGACGGGTGGGAGTGTGCCGGTGTCCGATTGGTGGCAGTGGCCTGTGCCATTCGCAGCGTGGTGCGCTGGTTCCCGCCTTGGTGGCAATGGTGCTGGCTATAATCGTTGCACTGCTGCCGGTCGGGTCGCGGGACACGCGGTGCTGCTGCTGGTCGCTGGGTGGGGCGTCCTGTGGGGGGCAGGGCGGTGCACCGCCGTGGTCCTGGCGCCCCTCGCCCTCGGAGCTGCTGCTCGCCCTTCGGCGCGGAGCGTCGAGAGCAGGCAGTCGTGCGAGGCTCGGAAGCCATGCAGGCGGCGACGTCGTTGCTGGCGTGAATGCGGGCTCTGGTGCTGGAATCGGTAGTGTCCGCTGTGTTCGTGTCGGTGCCAGGGTCGACGGTAGCTTCGGTGCCGGCACCGCTGCTGGAGTTGATGCTGACGTCGGTGCGGAGGTTGATGCCGGCTCCTGCGCTGGCGTCGATGCGGACGGGGCCCACGGTGTCGGTGGCGCTGACCCTCCTCATCTATCGCCCCCGCTACATCATCTTCGGTCATGATCTTCACCTCCCAAGCGGTCACCTGGCACTGGTGCTGGGGACGATGCTGGAGTTGATGCCGCCGGCATCAGGGCGGACGACGATGCAGGCTCCCGTGCCGGAGTCAGTGCTACCTTCGGTGCTGGCGTCGGCGCTGGCGCGATGGCTGGTTGGGGTGGGGCGGCAGGTGGGTCACGGGATGGGGCGTCGGAGATAGAGTCGGAGAGGGCATCAGTCATGGCGTCGGCAGGAGTGTCAGGTGCGACGCCGTGCAGGTGTTCGGCGAAGCGCACCTGTCGAAATCCTGGTGTCTGTCGATGGGCGCGCACGAGGGCTGGCTTCGATGCTATCGTGAAGGCTGATGCGGGTGTCGATGCTGGCGTCGGCGCTAGCGTCGATGCTGGCGTTGGTGATGGCGTCGATGCCGGCTCGGGTGCTGGAGTCCGCGACGTGTAGTGCAGTGGCGTCGTTGCCGGGGCTGACGCTGGCGTCGGCGCTGGGGTCGATGCTGCGGTTGTCGATGCAAGCGGCAGTGCTGGAGTCGATGCTGTCTTCGGTGCTAGTGCCGATGCTGGCGCCATGACTGAGGTCAGCGCTGTGGTCGATGCTAGCGTCGGCGTAGGTTTGGGCTATGACATTAATGATGCCGTCGATACTGGCGCCGAGGCTGGCGTCACTGTTGGCCTCGATGATTGAGTGGGCCGTCGTGTTTGTCACGATGGTGCTGCTGGCTGTCCGTGCGCTGGTGAGGGTGGCGGTGCTGGCTGTTGTCATGCTGGTAGCGGTGGTACTGCTGGTTTCCGCCATGCCAGTGGCAGTGATGTCGCTGTTTTCCGTCATGCTCGACAATCTGGTGTTGCTGGTCGCCGACGTGCTCGTCGCTGTAGTGTGGCTGGTCGTTAACATTGTGGTGCTGGTCGCAATCGTGTTCGCGGTGGTGGGGGCGGCGAAGCTGCTGCCGACCCTGCGTCTGCTAGTCATGGCGGTCGCGCTGGTCGTGCTCGCGATGCTGGCTGGACTTGGTGCTGGAGCAGCTGGTTGTGGCATTGGTCGCGCGACGCAGTGGCCCTGGCCCAGGTGGTCCAGGGCATGCCGCGAGTGCGAAATTAGTCGCAGGCCCTGCTGGCCGCCTCCTCGGTGGCGTAGCATACGTAGCCGCAGTCGAGGAAGCGCTCGGACGGCCCCTGGGCGACGCGACAAGCCCTTATCGGGCCGATCGACCAGGCTGAAGATCGAGCGGAGGGCGCGGTTATCGAGGTTGAAACCCTGCCAACACACCCGGAGAATGCGCCGCTGAGGATCAGGTTGGGCTCCGAGGCCAGACCGGCCAGAGCTGGTCGGGGAGGTACTTGGCGGCTCGGTTGCGGGCGTCAGCGTTGGCGTCGATGCCGCGGCGCGTGCTGGCATCGGTGGTGAAGACGATGCAAGCGTCGGCGATGGTACCGCTGCCAGCGTCGATGTTGGCGTCGGTGCCAGTGGCTGTGCCGGCATCAGCACTGCTGCTAGCGAAGCTGGCGCCATTGCGGAAGTTAATGCTGGGTTCGCTGCTGGCTTCGGTGCGGTCATCAAAGCAGGCTGTGCTGGAGTCGCTGTTGGCTGCAGTACTAGGGTTGGTGCTGGCGTCGCTGCTGGCGTCGATGGCGTCGATTCTGACGTCGATGCTGTCCAGAGGGCTGGCGCCGATGGGAGGCCGACGCAGGCGAGGGTGATGGTCGAAGCCGATGCTGGCATTGGTGGTGACGTGGATGTTGGCTCCGGTGCTGGAGCCGATGCCGTATTCGAAGATGGCGCTGTTGCTGGGGTTGATGCTGGCGCCGATGCTGGCGTCGCTGGTAGGAGCGGTGCTAATGTCGATGCTGACGTAGAGGCTGGAGCCCGTGCTGATGTCGGCACTAACGTAGATGCTGGAGTCCGTGCTGATGGCGTGAACAATGGCCATGTCATGCACTGAGGTCCATCCGCCCCCGGGGAAAGGGGGGGAACCTCGTGCCCTCGCTTCCATCACTGGCGTGATTGATGTCTGGACTACTGCTAGAGTCGTCTCTGACTTCGACGATACCGTCGATGCTGGCGCCGCGACTGGCGTCGGTGCTGGCCTCTGGGGTTGTGGGCGGGGCTGTCTGCGCTGCTAACATCGATTCGATGCGGGGGTCGGTGCTGGCGTTGGTGCTGGCGTCGAAGCTGGAGTAGATGCCGGTGCGTTGGTGATGACGTTGATGCTGGTGTCGGTGCTGGGGTCAACGCTGCCTTCGATGCTGGCGTTGCTGCTGGGGTCGGTTGCGGCGTCGGCGCTGGCGCCGACGCTGGGTTGATGACTGCGCGGTCATCACCAGACAATCCCAACCATGAAAATCGATGTCTCCTTATTTGTTTCGCATCCGCAAAGGCTCGCTACGTCCAAGGGAACATCGGGGCTTCGAGTGCCAGCTATCCTAATACACGTGCAAGAGCACTCTCATGTGCCATGTCGCAACCACGCAGGAGAGCAAACGTCGACCACGTTCGCCCCGAGGGCAGCGGCACCAAACCGAAGAGTTCCTCCACGCGGAACCACCACATCTGAAATTCAGACCAGGGCATTCTGAAATTCAGAACAGGCCAATCTGAATTTCAGACCAGGCCAACCTGAATTTCAAACTAGGCCACTCTGCATAATTTACGCGCAGAAGTCTCAGGCAGAACGACTTGCCCAAGTCCCCAGGGGGGCAATCTGAATTTCAGACAGGGACAATATTTCAGACAGGGGCACTCTGAATTTCAGCTATGAGAAGCGCCGCCCCAAACAGAAACGTGCCACGATCTCCCTCCGCGATCCCCCTGGAGCGAGGGAGATGCACCACCCCGCCGCGCCCGTGACAGCGCGCCGACGCGCAAATCACACGAGCTCGACAATCGCGCGCGCGTCGACGCCGAGCGCGCCAGCGCGCCCGCGCAGTCCACGAAAAGCCCAGGCACCGAAATGCATTCGAACGAGTTGACTTTGGGGGTGTCTGGCGATCACGAGGTAGCGAGGTGAGTGCTCGCACCGGCGCAGCCACACGCACTTCGCAACCTTGTGGTGGAAGCGGTTCCTCGCATGGGTCGCTTCGGTGGCTGTCGTGGCTGCCGCGACGTGTGTCCTCGAAGAAGTCGCCGTTGCGGTCGTCGTGGTTTCCGCGTTGGCCGCCATGGTGTGCTTGCACCTGAGAGTCGCTTCCGCGGTTGCCGCGGCTGCCGCGGCGTCCGCCGCGGTGCGCATGCACCTGAAACGCGACGTCGCAGCTGTCGTGGCCGTCGTGGTGGCCACCATGGTGTGCTTGAACATAAGGGATGCTGTCGTGGCTGTCGCGGTGGTCGCCGTATTGTGCGTGCCTCTCGTCGCTGACGTGGCGGCCTTCTCTGCGCCTGGCCGTAGCCGCGGCAATCGCGGCGGTCGTCTCTGCGTCTGCCGCGGCAACTGTCGTTGACGAACGAACAGTACACACCCATGCGAGTAGGGAGGACGGAAGGGCGCCATGGGCGCGCGCTGTCGGACGGGTGCCCCCGTTCGAACGAGAGCCTCCTCCAGGGTCCGACATCCCACGCCCATGCCCATAGCCAGTGCCCCCCCTCCGACCCTCCTATGGGCGTGGGCGTGTGTTGTTCGCTCCTCATGTCGTGGTTGTAAACGCAGTGGCTGTCGTGGTGGCTACCGCGCTGCTTGCGTGCTGGTCGGTCGCCCGCTGGTCGTTGATCTGCTTTGCGGTCGTCTGCTGGACGGTCGCCCGTGGACAACTGGCAAGCGTTGTGCCGGTCGTTAGTCATGGGGGGCATCGATAGGGGGGGACTGGCATAGGGGGGATGCATCGTCCTGGAATCGGCGATACATCGCCGATAGATCGGCGATAGGCTTCCGATAGTGAATCCGCACCTACAGCTCGGCTCGCACCTGTGGCAAGACAGCTGGAGTGGCCTCGCGGGGGACTCCTCTGGAACCTGGCGGCAATCGACTGATATGACTGCAAAGAACGAACGTTATCCCTCTCTGTCTCCCTCTCCAGTCTGCTGGAGGTTCTGCCCTCCGTTTCTGCATGGATGCGGGCCCTGCCGCCGAGCCGGAGGCCCAGAGCTGGCGGGCGGGGGCAGGGGGGAGGCTGCCGCAGGAGGGGCAGGGAGGCGGGGTGGGCCCGCTGGGACCACATGAAGAAGTTGGCGCTGGTCACCCACACGTGGAGCGACATGATGGTGGGCACGACCAGCAAGGGCGCGCAGTCGCGGAGGGCCTCCCGGAGGGACGGCGAGAAGCAGGGGGGGAGGGCCAGAGGAGCACAAGACACTGATACCGCTGCTCGTCCTGGAGAGCCCTCGTCGCCACGGCTGGATTCTCCCCGATATTCTGGTCCGAAAACTCCCGAGCAAGAGGCGGTGAACCAGGAGCAGCAGCAGCAGCAGCAGCAGCAGCAGCAGCAGCAGCAAGGGGCGAGTCCCGCGAAGTCCTGTCGGGGGTGACTTGCCCACGAACCTCTCGGGGCACCCCGGGAGTTCCACGGGGCGGCCAAGTCCCTGCGCGGGCTCCCGGAGGAGGCGCCCCCAGAGGCCCGCCAGAGTGAGGGGGAGACGGAGACGGAGACGGAGACGGAGACGGAGACGGAGCGCCGCCTGCGCCAGTCAGCGCACCCGCGCGGCGGGCTACCCAGGCACCCGACGTCGCGATGTACCTCACAACGTGGCTCCCCGAGACCTTCATCCTGAGCCGTGTTTGACGACCCCGGGAGTCGTGTTTGCTCCACGGCGCGAGGGTGTCAGTGTTCCAGGGCGCGCTCTGGCCAGAACTGCCAGGCGCATCCAGCCGTTGCCACGAGGAGCCCCTGGGAGGCCCCGAGGGGGGCGGGAGACGCCCAAGCTCGAGCCTCGGGGGCCCGAAGGTCCCCGACGGCGGCCGCGACGCCCAGGCGACCCCCGACGGGGTCCGCGGGCGTCCCCGACGGGATCCGAGGGCAGCTCGGCGCCGCGAGGAGCGAACCCTGCCGCGAGGGAGGCGTGGGGCGACGCCGCCGCGCGAGGCGTGGCGCGGTGGCGCGCGCGCGCGCGAGCGCGCGCGGCAGGCCCGGGCGGGCGACCCTGCTGCGGGCGGCCCCCCCGGCTGGGGGGGGGCGCCCCGCCCGGGGGAGCGGCAGGGCCGATCGCGTCCTGGGGGGGGGGAGGCCCCGGCGCCGCAGGAGGGCGAAGGAACAGCACCAGGATTGGGAGTCCCGAAACGGTGCGGTGACCGACCGTGCGGTGACCCCGACATCCCCCAAGACCTCACCGCACGGTCCGTCACCGCACGGTCTCGGGGCCTGGGAAGCCCCATGTCGCCCGAGACGTCCTCGGAGAAGACCTCGACTCCCAAAACCGTGCGGTGGCCCCGAATCCCCACCGATTCACCGCACGGTGTGGTCACCACCCCGTTTAGGGACTCCCGACAGGACTTTGACGCCGAAATCCCACCGACCCTCTGGGCGTTTCGGGAGTTCGGTCTTCTCTCTGGCAGAATCCTTCCTTTCCCCCCTGCTCGGGGGAGAGGTGTCCCCCTTACCCCCCTACCCTGGGTCTGAAAAGGGGGGGGCGCGACCCTTTGGAGCGTCCAAGATGGCCCAAGATGAAAATGGCTGCAGGTGGGCCTGATGGCCTCCAAGATGGTCCAAGATACTTCGAGATGGCTCAATCGAGTCTCCGACAAACGTCCAAGAGGCCCCAAAGCAGCCCTAAAAATGGTTCCAAGTGCTCATCGAGCGTCCCAAGACACCCCAAAGAAGCCAACATGGCTTGAAAACCGAAGGAATATCAATGTGTTTTGCGTTTTCGCCTTTTCGCTTCCGAATGGTTTTCGAGACCTCCGGATGGCCCCAAGATGGCCCAAGGGAGCCACAGGGGGACCAACAGGGCCCCGAGAGGGCCCCAAGTACGCCCAAGAGCGCTCCAAGAGGGGCTCAACAGAACAGAACGGAACAGAAGCCGTACACCCAAAGGCGCGTCGGCAGGCGCTGCATGATGAATGGATTCAGACACATGAAAGAAGGAAGGACGCACGCAGGGAGGGGAGGGACGCGCGCCGAGCGGGCACGGGGGTCCCCAATCGCCATCGTCGACCCTCCGAGGGGGGGAACCCGAATCCGCGACCCCCCTCTTTTCAGCCATGGGGCGCGAGACGGCCCCAAGAGACCCCCCAGACCCCCCCCCAGAGGAGGTTCAAGACACCCCAACAGAACTCCAAAAAGGTCGAGGAGGCAAGAGCCATTGAACAACCTCCGGAAAATCCATGTGTTTGCGTCCTCGCCATTTCACTTCCCATGGCCTTCCGATGCCTCAAGATGGCTCGGACTGCAGGGTATTGCAGGGTCTTTGCAAGGTCTGCGCGTTGTCTTCGCAGGGAATTTGCAAGGTATTCGCAGGGTTTGTTTTGCAGGGTCGTTGCACGGGTCGTTGCAAGATCTTCGCGGGGTCTTTGCAAAAGGGGTTGCGACCGGCTTCCAAAAGGCTCGCGGAGCGAAAGCTCCGCGACGGTATCATGGTTGACTCGTCGTTGTCGTCGTCGCTTTTCATCGTCGTCTCCCAGGTCCTCCCACATCCATCTGCTGCTTTGTCCTCTTCTTCCCTTTTTTCCTCCTCCCGTTTTCTTTTCCTCCTATCCTCATACCGCTGCCAAAAATAACCCTCGCGCCCCGAAGGGGCTTCAGGATAACACCAAGAGTGGCCAAAACAAATCCTTATGAAGCCGTCGCGCCATGGAAACACGCGCTACAGAACTACAGAATTCAAGAACGATTCCCGCCGCGCCGCTCCCCGAAACACTTTCAAGGCGGCTGTTCCGCCGCATGTTTATATACTTATCTGATCAAGGCAACTCGCCTGGCGATCTGTTTCTGGATGGGTCGGCGGGGATATTTTTTTGGTCGCGACCGCGAGCGGGCACCCGCGCGGCGTCGGAAAGGTCGCGCTACAAGCAGAAGCCAGAGGTCACAGCGCAACTCTCGCCGGCCAGACGCGGGAAAAAGGGGGCCACTAAAGTGACGAAAACTAGCAGGCTACGCGCAACGGCGTCGCGGGCGAGTCGGACGAGAGCGAAACGACGAGGAAGAAGACGGTGGAACGAGGAAGAAGAGGCAGCGACGAGAGACAAGAAAGGAGGAAGCGGGAAACGAGAAGAACAGCCGCAGCTCAAACGTGGAACAAGTAGGGGACCGCCCACACCTTGCTGTACTCCACGTACTTGACGCAAGGAGGCGGCGGAAGGCTCGAACCCAATCCCAAGCAGACGCCGACGCCACGTAATGGCCAAGTGACCACAGAGCCGAGGAGTGACCAACGACAACACGAGCAATGGTTGGCGAGGATCTTATTTTGATTGGCGGCTCCAAGGACAGATCCAGGAAGCGGGACGGTGTCGGCTGGGGCACAGGGCGAGATAATTGGCGGCGACGGCGCATAGGCCGACGCAGCAAGTGCACGTGCCAGGGACAAAATGCCCCTCATTAAGATGCGGGCGACCCGGGGGCGAGGACGCAGGCATCGGAAGGAAACAGACGGAGGAGGAGTCGCACAGTGGCGCCAGCTCGATCCGTGCCGACCAGCGCGCAATGGCGTGGGTCACGCCGCGCTGTGGCAACACGGAGGGCCAAGGAGGCCGCACCGTCCATCACGACGAGGAGGCGAAGGAGCGAGGAAAGGCGGCGGGCGCGAGAGCACGCGCGGACAGAAGAGGGGGGGAACCGAGGAACGCCTCACTCACAAGGACTCTTGGAAGTAATCGGGCATGACCGACAAACCTACGCAAAGAAACGTCGTCCCTGTCTCGGAGTCCACAACCTGCAACTGCCTGACTCTGAAAGCCGGGGGAATACAGCTGCAAGCATGGTCGAGCACCACGGACCACCCTGCGGGAGGGCCGAGAAGCACTGCCAAACGATATACCACTTGCGCAGTAGCAAGAGCTCGAGGGCGGCGCTCGCCGTGAGAAGCGGGACAACCAAGACGTCGGCGTTCAACGCGGGCAGCTTATCCATCACGAAGGACGGGAGCACAAAGATGCGAGCGTCAACCGGGGTAGCAGGGGCGGACCTGATGGGGGAACATCGGCGACCTGCCAAAAGATGAACCACTTGTCGGGACAGCGCTCTCCTCAGGTCCAGCCCCAGGTGGTGCCGGGGCGGGGTGGCGCGCCAGGCTGCACCAGCAGCAGCCCAGCACCTGAAGCGCCGCGAACCACACCCAAACCACGCGGGCGAACCGCGCCCGCTCCAGGGGCTGGAAGAGTCGTACCGGCGGGGGCGGACTGCTGCAGACCCGGCTTTGTCCGAAACAACACATGGCAGCCGCGCAGCCCGACCGCGCCTCGGAGCCCTGCCAGTGAGCCTCCAGGTGCCATGGATGCCCGAGTGCTCCAGTGGAGCCTCGGCAGGGGGGAATTCGCGTGGCACTATGCGCCGTATCAGCACGAGAGGAGGAGGAGGAGGAGGAGGAGGAGGAGGAGGAGGAGGAGGAGGAGGAGGAGGAGGAGGGGAGACGCAGCCGATAGCCACACAATCCAGTGAATCGACGGAGGAGGAAGGAGGGGCGACGCCAATGTAGACGCAGTGAGTGCTGCGGCCTCTGTGATCCCTCCACCGTTCCTTGCGGAAGGACCTCCGCGAACGCGGGGGGAACAAGGAGGAGAAGGAAGAGGCGGCACCTATGACGATGCTGTGTGGTCGGAGTCACCTCTGTGATCCCTCCACCGCTCCCCGTGGAGGGTCTTCAATGACCGCGGGGGGGACAACACCGGTCGGAGTCACCTCCGTGATCCCTCAACCGCTCCCTGTGGGGGGTCGTCAGTGACCGTAGGGGGGGGAACGTCAGTCCAATGTCGGAGTCACCTCTGTGATCCCTCCACCGACCCCTGTGGAGGGCATCATCGACCGCGGGGGGGGGGAACAACACGCCAGTCCACTGGCGGAGGACAGTGTTGTCACTTCGTGGCGCCCGGGATATCCACTCCACAGGCCTCTGCCTTCCTGGTTGTTGCACGCACGCCCCGGACAATCAGAGAAACCACGCACCGAGAAGGCAGCCAGCGAGCGCAGGCGTCCAGGGAACGGGCACCGAGCACTGGCCGCACGAGCCACCGCAGCCGTCGTCACCGCACACGAGCCCCTACGACACGCAGCCTGGGATGCATGTCGGGGTCGGGTGGGGCGTCGCCGTCGGCTCCGTCGTCGGCGCAGCGTCGCAGTCAAAGCCGGGTCAGGTGACGCAGTCGGCTCCG